GAACTACGCTCATATTTATAATTCCAAATAATCAGTAAGCGACAGGTGCTAGGAAACGCTGTTTTGTACTCATTTATTGACGAGTCGGCTGCGGTGCGGCCAACTGAATGCGCTGCTTCTCTGCCGCTCACTGCACAGAACAGACGCCGAGAGAGGCGACACTTCTCCGGGAAAGTCAGACCTCATGTTCACGGGACAGCACATGGTGAAATATTCCAACTGAACCATAGCTAAGGTTTATCCAAAAAAGTCGTGAGGTTTGTCAGTAAAAAGGGTCTGAAAGTTGCTAAATCTAGTGCTAAAGTCACGCTTGTGTGTGTGTGAGACGCGGGAGCTGATGGCAGGGGGCGGTGGATATTTGTGGAGGTCAGTGTGGATATTGTGGATGAGTTCTTTTGTGTCATCATGTTCTATTAGTTCTACAGCTTCAGTTTCGGAACTTTCACGCTTAGTAACACATACAGCTGTTCCCTCACCACAGTGCAACCGTGAAAAGGGACCCCTTTCAAACAGTGTCGCGTTCCGAACGTTGTTTAAGCGACATACACCGGTATTGCGGTATTTAAAAAATTCATATCATAACAAAAATAAACACCGGTATTCGGTATGAACCGGTATACCGCCCAGCACTACTTTTTACTGTCTGTGACCTCCAGAAGTACAGAAATACATTACACATTTAATTGGAAAAGCCTTTTGTGATAAATGATCAGTCTGACTCTTCATTTAATGTCAATACCAGCAGTCATTTAGAAAAAAAGTGAACTTGATAATTCTCACTTCATGCACAAAGGTTTAATTGGAATACATCACGTTTTCTCTGACAACTGAACAGTGCACAAGTCTGAAAACTTCAATACATTCAAAGCTAAATAAAAAAAATGAATGTCAGATCTCACTAGTAAAACAAGCAGTGTAGTCTGATAAAACAAGCTCAAAATAAGACTAAATAAATGACCCAGTTTTGTGGTTTTGGACTAATCATATTCCTTTACAAAGCTAATTACAGTATCCCACATATACAAGTTGCTAAAAGTATTGAATAAATCTGTCTGGTGTTATTTTAGTATTATTGTTGTATATATTAATATAATTTTTTATGTTTTCAGTTTTTCTATTAATCTTAGGCATTTTAAGGTAATTTAACATGCTTGTCATTTCTATTTCTTTTTATTTAGCTTTCATTTATTATTTTAGTTTTAATTTTAGTGATTATAGTACTTCAACTTCAACTTTATTTAAATAAAAAGCAGTGTTAATGTTGTATTGTTATTGCATTTATTATTATTTTCCATTATCTTAAATTTTTTACATTTTCAGTTTTCATACTAATTTTAGTTTTAGTAATTTTAAGTACTTTTTTTATTAATTTTTTTTTTTAGTTTAGCTTTAATATTATTTAGCTTTAATTTCTCTGTTTTAGTTTTAGTCATTTTAGTACTTCATCTTTAACTTACTTTATTTATTTTGTTGCCAGTGCAATATTTCCTTTATTTAAATGAATGAAATGTATTTGTAATTGATTAAGAGAATAACAGCACTGCATCTACATAAACACTCACACATCTATGTGGAAGGAAAACAGTTCATCATTTATGCATCATTGGGGTTTTGAAGGAGCTCTAAAAGACAAAAAGGAGACAAAATCTAGGATGTTTAAATAATGACATTGTGTAGTGTGTGGTTTGAACAGCAGATGGAGATATTTGAGCGTTTCTGTTAGTGATCAGTCACACTTTACTGTGTAGGCAAGCACCAGACAGCACAAAATATGTGACTGTATTCTAAAAATAAACCCAAAAAACAACTACAACTACCCAAAGTCACTAGAACACTGAGCTCAAATCTCCACTAGAAATTAATGTTGTCTGGTCAGGTTGAAGAGTTTTTGGCCTTTACAAATACGCTAAAACAATTACACACACACAGACTCTTTACTGTCATGAGTTGACTGTCTTCTCACTCTTTTCTCTGTCCTTCAGTCCATGTGGATCGAGCGAACCACATTCATAACTGCTTACAAACTTCCAGGAATCCTGCGCTGGTTTGAGGCCACTAGCATGACCCACGTGAGTCTCTGTTCCTGTCAGTCACACTGAAATTCTTCAAAATGCTAGTGTACTGCATCCTGTGCAGTGTATACTGGATAGGACTTTTTCATCAGTATGTAGTATATACATAACAGTAAACATAAAACAGTAGGATGCTACATTGTCACATGACCTCATGTATATGTATATAATTATGATAATGCATTGGTATTCTGTTTTATCTCAGAAATAAATAAACATAATGCAATTTTGATGTATTAACCTTTCTCTGTGGCCAAATTCAGAATAACATACAATGATCATTCCTGCATTATATACATTAATATCGGTAAATTTTTATAGAAATGTATATTTTTAAAGAGATAGTTCACCCAAAAATGAAAATTCTGTCATTAATTACTCACCCTCGTGTTGTTCAAAACCCGTAAAGACCTTCGTTCATCTTCGAAACACAATTTAAGATACTTGATGAAATCTGAGGGCTCTCTGACCCTCCCATAGACAGCAAGGTAACTACCACGTTCAAGGTCCAGAAAAGTACAGAGATGATCGATAAAGTAGTCCGTGTGACATCAGTGGTTCAACTGTAAAGTTACGAAGCTACGAGAATACTTTTTTGCGCAAAGAAAACAAAAATAACGACGCTAAATACCAACACAACATGATACTGTCGTGAACACGCATCCAAAGTGACGCAGTAGAGACAAAAATGTGGAATAAAGTCGTTATTTTTGTTTTCTTTGCGCAGAAAAGTATTCTCGTAGCTTCGTAACTTTACAGTTGAACCACTGATGTCACACGGACTACTTTATCGATCATCTCTGTACTTTTCTGGACCTTGAACGTGGTAGTTACCTTGCTGTCTATGGGAGGGTCAGACAGCTCTCAGATTTCATCAAAAATATCTTAAATTGTGTTCCGAAGATGAACGAAGGTCTTACGTGTTTGGAACAACTCGAGGGTGAGTAATTAATGACAGAATTTTCATTTTTGGGTGAATTATATTTTTAAATATAATTTTATTGTTATAGTTTTATAGAAAAAGTTTATTTTATTTTGTTAATAAGTATTTTCATATTTATATTTGAATGCTTTTATTAACATTTATCATTAATAAGTTGTTTCTTTGATTTCTAAGATGATGCTAAATTAAACAGTGTGAGCAGGTCATGTGACAGCGAGGATTATCTCAAATGATTATTTCTCTAGTTTATGCGTTAATATGGGTACTGTGCAGTCTGAGCACGTTCTATATATATATAAACAATATCGTTAATATAATAGAGTTACTTTTTCCAACAAATTTAAAAATGTGCCATATGCCAGTTCAAACATGCCTAAAGACTACCTCTACTTAATAATAACAAAAGTGGAGATGCACTGTTATTCTATGACATTATATTATATTGTTCGATTGATTTGCATTGACTATCAGACGTGTTTATGATGTAATTATTTGTGAATATTTCTCTGTCAGACGACGGTGAGTCCGCTGGAGAACGCCATCGAGACGATGGGACAAACCAATGAGAAAATCCTCACCATGATCAACCAGTACCAGTGTGACGACGCTTTACCCATAAACCCTCTCTCCATGCTGCTCAACGGCATCGTGGACCCCGCCGTCATGGGCGGCTTCGCCAAATACGAGAAGGTCAGTGAGACACGGTGAGAAAACGGAGAGAACCGCTGAGAACGGATGGTGATATGTGTGTGTGTCTTTCTCCAGGCGTTCTTCACGGATGAATACATGCACGAACATCCTGATGACAGAGACAAACTCCTGAGACTCAAAGACCTCATCGCATGGCAGGTCAGAAACATTGCAGCATTTGTTTGTGGCTTTGATGCTAGAAAACTCGAGTGGTTAGGACAGATGATTAACCTGTGTGAACTCCCGTTTGACTCGTTTAGATCCCGTTGTTGGGCAGAGGAATCAGTCTGCATGGAAAAAGGGTGACGGATGACCTTCGACCTTTCCACGAGCGCATGGAGGAGTGCTTCAAACAACTGAAGAAGAAGGTGGAGAAGGAGTACGGCGTGAGAGAGCTGGTAAGGATGAAAGCCAGACAGCAGAAACAGAAAGAAGGATTTTGTGAGATGAAGGAGGGAAAGGGATCAGCAAAGTGTGTCCTGATTTTCTTCCTCTTGTGTAGCCTGATACGGATGAGAGACGATCCACTCGGCCGCGCTCTATGCTGCGCACGGTCCGACAGTCCATCTGCTCATTGGCTGGATCTGAATGCGGAACGCCCACTAAGACACACCCAGAGAGGTGACCACGCCCACACGCACATGTGTCTCTACGTTCAGAATAACATGCTGTGATTATTCCTGCAGTTTATAAGATGATACATCATTTTCTAGAAATATATAGAATACACAATATTTGTTTAAATATTTTTTTTTATTAATCTATAGTTTTAATACTTATATTTGAATAGTTTAATTAACATGTAATACTATATTGTTTTGTTTTTAATACTTGTTTTATTATTTATGATGTAGTAATTTTGTTGTTATTAATGTTTTATTTTTATTAATATTTGCAATAATGTTTATATTGTATTAATATTTATAAATATATATAGTTTGTTTTAGAATTTTTTGTTTTATATTTCCATTTAAATAATTGTATTTATTTCTTATTAATATATTGTTACATTATTTTATTTTATATTTTTATAGAAATATGTTTTATAATGGTTTTAATATTTATATTTTAATAAATGTTGTAATATTTGTCATTAATATACATTCATATAAATATAATACAAATGAATATAATGTGTAATTATATATATATATATATATATATATAGTTTGATTTGTTATTAATTTGTTTATTAATATTGCTTTGTTAATATTTTTATATAGGAATTTTAATTTTATTATTTGTTATTAATATATTGGTTTGTTTTAATTATTATTAGTTATTAGTACATTGTTTTAGTTGTTTTTATTAATATTTGTTTTGATATTTATATTTCAATCATTTTAATAATATTAGTTTTATTTCTGAGATGATGCTAAATTAAATATTCAGTGTGGCAAGGTCATGTGACATCAATGTATCATAATACTGTTGCTTATCACTACATAATGTGTTCTGTTTTACATAATATTTTTTTTAAAGTAGTAGGCAGTATACAGTGTGTATACTATTCCTCTCTCTCTCTCTCTCTCTCTCTCTCTGCCTGTAGCATATCTCTGGACAGTGGCGTTCCTCCCTTTCCGTCCATCATCCCTCGTTCCAGTGGAAGCATCAGTGTGATGGATGAGAGTGGTGTTGAAGTGGAGGTGAGGATGATGAAGATATTGCTGTGACATGTTTCAAAAACAGACCAATGATTGCAGCTCATCATGCTCAGGTGACTCGTTCTGTTCTTCCAGGTGAAACTGAGGAAATCCAAGAAGAAGAAGAAACCCGGTCGTGGCAGCATGATCTTCATCAGCGAGGAGAAAGAGCGGAGCAGCACCCTCGACAAACGGGTGAGACAAGATATACATTTAGAAATAAATCAGTAAAAGTTAAATATGCGCAGAAGTATTTTTGCAAGTTTGGTCCTTCATTAACTTGTTTTTGTTTTTATTTCATAGTGATTGTGATATTATTATAGTAACTATTAGTTTAACTCTCTGTCTCTCTCTAGCTTTCCAAGAAGCAGGAGTTTCGCAGTGACACGAATCTGTCAGAGCCGAGTGTGAGCAGCGGCCTCGTCAACTCCAGATCTCTGCCCACTATTGCCGGTACAACATTCATATCATAGTGACTCCTCTCATTCCCTTTCGTTGTTTTTCATTTTAGCTAATGAAATTCATGTAAATGTTTAGTAACCCTAAACTTTTGTGGGAAAAAATGTGTTGTATCTTTAAAAGTTAAATATGCGCAGAAGTATTTTTGCAAGTTTGGTCCTTCATTAACTTGTTTTTGTTTTTATTTCATAGTGATTGTGATATTATTATAGTAACTATTAGTTTAACTCTCTGTCTCTCTCTAGCTTTCCAAGAAGCAGGAGTTTCGCAGTGACACGAATCTGTCAGAGCCGAGTGTGAGCAGCGGCCTCGTCAACTCCAGATCTCTGCCCACTATTGCCGGTACAACATTCATATCATAGTGACTCCTCTCATTCCCTTTCGTTGTTTTTCATTTTAGCTAATGAAATTCATGTAAATGTTTAGTAACCCTAAACTTTTGTGGAAAAAAATGTTTGTATCTATATGAAGTGCTCTACTTCCTGTTTTGTGGATACCAAAATTCTCAACAAAAAAAAACAGGAAGAAGTCCATATTAACAGACTGCTGATTTCACATGCTGTCCTCAGGTCTGTCTCTGTCAGTAGCCAATGGGAGTGAGGAGGTGGAGTCAGCGCGGTCCAAGCGTGACAGTAAAAGCGTTTCTGTGTGTCTGCCATCTGACCGCACCGGTGACCGTCGCTCCAAAGGAGTCATAAACCTGCTCTTTAAAACCAAGGTAACAAGAGCTTTAACAAGCCACAAACACTGTGATGTGGCTTCCCATCATGCACCACATGCACAGTATATACTGTATATCACTACCTTTATTCAAGTGTGAATATGTGTGTGCGTGTGTGTTTTTCAGATGAGCTCCAAACCTGATGAAGCAAAAACATCTTCTGAACCGTCTGAACCATCCACTCATTTTTAATTCTGTCTCTTTAGTTTTTTTAATAGCATTTTGGCTGTTCATTTTTCTGTGATAAAGCTCTTAAAGCCTGATAGTAACAGAGCTGTAGAAGAAAAAAAGAGCCTTGATTTCATTGAATGTGTTCGAAAACGAACTCTAATGAAATGAAGTCAGTGTTTTAAACATTGTATCGTCTGTACCAGCAATAAACTCTTTTACAATTCTGAAATTGTATCTTTATTATAAATATATACACATAGACTGTAGATATAATTCAGTTTTTTTTCAATGTCATGGTAAATTCATTCACATTCTTCGTTTCTAGGTTTAGTGGATGATCTAATCTAGTGATTACAATACAATGGATTTGACGGATCCGGCAATTAATCACTAATTAAAAATCACTAATTTTATTGATGTAACAAGAGAATAAGAAGCATAAACAGTTACATGTGGTTATGATTCAAGCCTAAATTATTTTAAAGTCATCACAGAATTTTACAAATAATCACATGTATCAGTGCTTCATATACAGGTGCATCTAAAAAAAATTGAATATCGTGAAAAAGTTTTTTTTTTGGCAACTTATTTCAAAAAGTGAAACTTTCATATATTCTAGATTCATTACATGTAAAGTAAAACATTTTAAAAGTGTTTTATTTTAATTTTGATTATTAGCGCTAACAGCTCATGAAAGTCAAAAATCCATAATCTCAAAATATTAGAATATTTCCTAAAATCAATCAAAAAAGGATTTGCATAACAGAAAAGCTCAAGTTTTTTAAAGTATGTTCATTTATGCACTCAATACTTGGTCGAGGCTCCTTTAGCACAAACTCCAGCATCAGTGATGTGTGGCATGGAAGCGATCAGCCTGTGGCACTGCTGAGGATCTATTGAGCCTTCAGCTCATCTGTATTGTTGAATCGACTGTTTCTCATCTTTCTCTTGAAAATATCCCATAGATTCCACATGGGGTTCAGGTCAGGCATGTTGGCTGGCCAATCAAGCACAGTAATATCATGGTCAGCAAACCACTTGGAAGTGTTTTTTTTTGCACTGTGGGCAGGTGTTAAAGTCCTGCTGGAAAAGAAATCAGCATCTCCATAAAGCTTGTCAGCAGATTGAAGCATAAAATGCTTAGTAATGGTAAACGGCTGCATTGACTCTGGACTTGATAAAACACAATGGAGCAACACCAGCAGACGTCACGGCACCCCAAATCATCACTGACTTCAGAAACTTCACACTGGACTTCAAGCAGCTTGGATTCTGTGTCTCTCCAGGCTTCCTCCAGACTCCAGACCATGATTTTCAAATTAAATGCAAAATTTACTTTTATCTGAAAAGAGGACTTTGGACCACTGAGCAGCAGTCCAGTTCTTTTTCTCCTTAGCCCAGGTGAGATGCTTCTGACGTTGTTTCTGTTTCAGAAGTGGCTTGGTAGCCCTTTTCCTGAAGACGTCCGAGCGTGGTGACTCGATGCACTGACTCCAGCTTTAGTCCACGCCTTGTGAAGCTCTTCCACGTGTTTGAATCAGCTTTGCTTGACAGTATTCTCAAGCTTGTGGTCATCCCTGTTGCTTGTGCACCTTTTCCTACCCAATCTCTTCATTCCAGTCAACTTTGCATTTAATATGCTTTGATACAGCACTCTGTGAACAGCCAGCCCTTTCAGTAATGACCTTCTGACTTACTCTCTTTGTGGTGGGTGTCTCGTCTTCTGGACCATTGCCAAGTCAGCAGTCTTCCCCATTAATGTGGTTTCAAAGAACAAGAGATACTCGGAATTTAGACTGTAGGGACGGTCATTTAATGAAACTCAAATGTAAATATTCTAATATTTTGAGATACTGGATTTTTGACTTTCATGAGCTGTAAACTCTAATCGTCAAAATAAAAAAAAATAAAAAATGTTAATCAGAATGAATCTAGTCGAATTCAGATTCTTCAAATTCTGTTTATATAAACCATAAATGTTAAAATTTGATTCACATATTTATGTGAATTACATGTATTCTGGACAATCCATATAGTATCCAGTCGCCACATTCAGAACTGGAGAAAACCAGCACAGTTATGTCATGACAGGAGTATAACTGTGTTTTCTTGATAATGCATCTAAAAAGAAATCTAGCATATACATGAAACATTTCTTGATGTTTTCGAATGCAAGAACATGTCCTGTGTGAACTGTGATGATTAATGGTGCTATGCGTGTTTGCAAGTTAGTTCAGATTCATTTACATTTTAGGAGCCACTTTTTCCAGTGCAAATAAATTGCATTTAAAGCATACTTCATTCACCCGATACACAATCTCACATGTGAACTTCAACACATTGCATGTTTCACTGGGCCAATCATCCCAGCTTATCTCACGTGAGAATCTCCTCTGAGCGTCTCATCTCAAACCGCTCTGGTGATTTTATCTGGAGAGATAGAGTGTGTGCATAGACAAGTGAAGTTAATATATAATGCTTCATGCAGGTGATCTGATCAAATCGTCTAAAGCTAGATTCATTTTGTCAGCGAATTTCAAAAATTACAAAATCAAGTTAAGGTTAACAGAACAGCAAATGTACAAATGATTACCTGCAGGAGAGACCGTAGTCAGGACAATAGCATTATTGCTACTGATCATGACTTTTTCTTTCTTTGAATGGCAAGTCAGCTGATTGTCTAGATAAATACAGAAATAATCTTAGTTTAAAACTTTTAAGCAGTTTAAAAGCACTAAAATGCTTTTTTAAAGTTGTAAATAAAACAGATTATTGGAGCATGTTTCACAAGAAAATACTTTTTCAGTCTTCGACCATTACTGGCAGAGTGAAAACTTGTCAAAGTAAATCCTACAACAAGAAATTTTTACTTTATATAAAATAACCTTAATTAGATTTTTGCGATCGATTAATGTTAAATAAAAAAGTAGTTTGAATTTAAATATTATAGACTATAGAGTGTTAAAACGGATGAAAATGACGATAAAACCTTACATAGTCACTCTCTCTCCAGGGATGGTTGAACTTCGCTTTCTTTTAGGTACCTGGAGGATTCTGGAGATAATGTGAATACAGATAACATAAATCTATTTGGATGGCAGATTCATCAGAACAAGTTTTCTTGCCTTTATACAGTATATGCATCAACTGGAAAATAGACCTTTTGATCAGACCCATGTATCAAATAAGATTAACAGTTCTTAATTTTCTATGAGACATTGTATTTGTTTTGACTCTCTATAACCTTCAATAGCATTTCAATTACTGTAACTGTTTGTGGGATTTTTGGTGCAATTCTTAATTCTAGTTATGGGCTTTTGTTGGAAACTCTCCCGGGCCAAATTCTGTAAAGAACGAAATCAAGGTTACATAAACTCCATGACCAGTGAACAGTCTGAAGAAGTCAAGCTTGCTATTTCAAAGGTCAAATACACACACGATTAGGTTAAATTGCCCACCTTGGCTTATGACTCAAAGGAGACATATTATGCCCCTTTTTACAATATGTAATATAAGTCTCAGGTGTCCCCAGAATGTGTCTGTGAAGTTTCAGCTCAAAATACTCCACAGATCATTTATTATATCATTTTGAAAATGGCCATTTTGAGTGGAAGCAGAAACACGCTGTTTTCCGCACCTGTCTCTTTAAATGCAAATGAGCTGCTGCTCCCCGCCCCCTTTTCCAGAATAGAGCTGGGTCATTACAGCTCATACCTGCTAAAAAACATCTGTTTAGGTTCTGATGATCATTTTTATCGCGATTGTTTTACTAATGATTGAAACCTAATAACTAATTGTTGTGCTTGTTTTTCTTCTAGTTATTTGAAAAGATTTGCCTTGTAAAGAATGTGGAGCATTTGAGTCTAGCAGGTACAAACTGTGTATATTATAACATTTATAATTTATGTTATGTTATTTACTGTATATCTGTGTGTGTGTGTTTTCACATACATTTTCAGTTAAAATTACAACATCTTCAAACTCATAAATGCTTTGATTGTTTTTCCATAGGCTAGCAGAGGCTTGAGCAGATGTGACTTTCAAAGGCTATACAGTACAACATAATTTCTAAAGTAGCGTAATACTTTTTTTCAAAAATATTCAAAATAATATTAAAATGAAGAAAATAAAAATCTACTTTTAAATGCACTTACTGTCTTGTCATTTGTAATGTATCCCATCTTTAGGCTGAGTCCATGCAAATTACAGCAGTCCCACTGGACAGCCACTGGCCGAACAATTAAAAAACATGCAGCTCATTTCACAGGTTGGTACATGAAAAAAAAAATGTTTCTTGTATGTACTTGGTTATACAATGCAATTTGGTTATCAATATTGTAATGCCAGATATGACCATTTATTTGCAAGTTGTTTAATTCCTTTATTTATTT